GGCCCACCTGGCCACGGCTCGCGCAGCCTGCACCGCACACAAGCCCAAGTTGTTTTATCGACTCTGGGCTGCTTCTTCCAGGAAGCTGACCCTGCAGAAGGTGTCTTGGCTGAGTGGCACCATTTAGCACTCGGTGCCAGGAACACCTTCCTGGGAGCCCTGGCGCTGACAGCACGTAAAAACCCCGCGTCGCATTTGTTTCTGACAGTAGGCTCTGCCTGTTTGATTGTGAGCCCTCTGAAGCATGAGCTGTTCTCTTTATCTTTACAGAGCACAGGGCCTGGCAGAGAGCGGGCACTCAAGGCGTGCCAGGAGCAGGAAAGAGCGAGGAGCTGTGGGGCGATCACACAGGGCAGAGGGGCCCGGGCGGGAAGCATGGCACGGGGGCAGCTGCTAGGGCTGGGCAAAGTGCAGGCCCACTGCCGAGAGCTTCCAGCCAGACCCTCCTTGGAATGAGTAACGCAAGGCGACCCACAGGCGCTGACCGCTGGGGCCCCTCATGTCTGTGTGGTGTGCTGGGTCGGACGCCCAGTTCCGGCTCCACGTCTGACTCTACTGCTCAGGCCGCAGAAGGACGGGTTTTACACATCACACAGTGAGGCGGCGGGAAGCCCCTGGTTCCGGCCCCGGGGCGGCCCTCCCTGGCTCCGGGCAGCTGCTGCCCGGCCTCCTTCCCCGGTCGAGGAAACAGCGTTTGAAACTAGCCAGCCCTTTCCAGCACCAACTGCTCAGTGCTGTGATGAGGCAACGGACGGATGTTTCTGGGTCCGCAAATCCTAGAAGTGAGTTGTTTCCTATCAATCTGGAAATTTCAGTGTAAATCAGATACGTAAGTTAGCCCTGGCCCCAGGAAACCATTTACCAGGTCAAACCATAGCACTTCCTGCGCGGGACTCCGAGGGTGTCTGCCAGGAGGGAAGTCGGACGAGAAGAGGGAACGGGGGTGGCAGGCTGAATCAGGGGCTTCTAGGTGAGGTGGGCAGGGTCCTGCAAACGCCCACCCCATTTGCTTCAGTTCCCGCTCTGGAGAGGGCGGCCACCGCCCCCCCCTCCCCCTCCACAGGCAGCAAGCACAGCCAGCGTTGGCTGCACGGCATGTACGGCTCACAGACTCGCAATTTAAAACGAGTTTAATT